TGTATGATGACGACTACTCATCACCCATTGCGCGCGTCTAGCAGCGATTGGTGGAGTTGACATCATCGCGATATCAACCAATGAGTAGACCTTTCGGTCATCCCAACAATATCACCATGCTTGTGGTACTGTTGAAAGAATATTCAACGTAATATTACCTATTGTCAATTTCTTCTTAAAGACAATATCATGTAACAGGCTACCCCGTTACATAGATGCTCTAAGTAATCGTTTGGCGTCAAAGAACCTTCTTGGCTGGCAGAAACGTAACGTGCGCTCATCTGCATGTACGTTACGCGCTATGCCTGTGCGTGGTATCCGAAATCTGTTTATTCTTCGCAGCACAAGGCATATCATACGTCAGACATGAAAAAGTTGATGCCATAGCTGTCGACTGACATGTGCCAAGTAGGGCCGATACTCCAGCATATATAGTGCGCTCGTAATAATGCCAGGTGATGCGCCTTATAATTTCTAAAAGCACGTCTATGCCCAAATTATGCAGTTGAGTGAATGAGCATCGATAATCCTCACTGTTAAGCTCGTATCGGATCGGGCAGCGTGGTTGAGACATGCGTTAGCATAACGCGACGCAATTACGCCAAGTGTGCTTCTGTCCTATCGAAACGAAATAACGATCTCCTCTACCTGGTCACCACATGCTACAAATTCATTCGCAGCATAGTCCTTGCATCATCATCACGCTTATCCTTATATGTGAGCGAGTGAATTCAACGCAACAATACATTGTGCGCAAAGGATCATGTGCTTCATTATTAGCTTGCTTCTCGTGCTTACAATGTCTTATATCCTTCTTTCTGCATAATTATTGCCCCTGGTTGACTGTTGCAGTATGATATCGCACAATGCGTTGTTCACTCGCAGCTGCTATCTCCATAAGGGTACAGTTGTAAGTTCCGCAGCTGCTGCTCGTACTGTCAATTTACAATTCCAGTAATAGATCCACTAGGTTGTTGTGTGCAAAAGCTATAATTGATTGTCGCACATTTTACATCATGCTTATAATATAAACCTAGGGCTGCTCCAAAGGTTTTTTTGCACGCAAAGGAGTCAATACCTAAAAAGCGACCCTGCAACGTCATCGCGTGCGATGGAAAATACCCCTCAAGGTTGACCGTAAACATGGGCAGCATGCAGCGCGTTAGCACAATAAAGACGTCTGTTAGACAATTGACTTGTAAGAGAGTGCGTTAGGAATGACCAGCTCGCTGCTGCTACGGGTGAAGCGCAAAGCCTTATCATCATCAGCTTCAAAGATGTCAGTATGCTTTTATTCGACTACGAAATGCACACACCATACGGAAATGCCCTGCTACTTGCTGCGCAATGCGATGTCAATTCAAACGAGAATGACAAAATGACCGATTAAAACAAGCAACTTAGGTCTATTGAATTCGGCCGAATGATATGCATACTGTCTCCATCTAGGATGCACATTCGTGCGAGTTCTGTCAACACATGTCGCTTGCATCTACATGCATAGACCCTTCGCAATTGCGAGGCCGCGTCCAGTCAAGCTAGATGATGGCGGGCGTTTGCGTCGGCTAGACCTCAACCAAAACGGATCCGTTCGTGTACCTGCCAACCAATCACCACGCGTCTTTGTTCTGATCAAACCGATATACATGTCTTCGCACGTGGACGCCAAATTACTCTCTTGCAGCGTTATGTTTCCTCACACTTTGCTGTAGAGATTCACAGACATGTGGATGACCTAAAGCATGTAAAGGGGTAAAGGGGCCAGAAAAACGGTACTGCACATTGTGAAGCGGTCAAATCCCTGCTTCTAGATACACGCTAGGCTCCCAGACGCCGTCGATCTGAAATGCAAGCACACGTTGCTTCTTGGTCCACTGCAGCGAGTCCACCACTTCGCATATCGCAAAAACAGGGTACATTACCATACAAGCACAAAGTGTAGATGCTACCGTGAAAATGTGGTAGACCAAGCATGTATTAATGCCTATTACAAATGATGGGACTGTGACCGATCGACATCTAATCTATACAAGTCTAGCATATGAGCTCACGGCCAATGACGGCAAACCTTGCGTCATTGCGAGCCTGGTGTCTGTAATAACACATTCTAGATAAAATCCACTCGCAACTAAAGGGCGAGCTGGCTACTCCGTCTGGATTGGCTCATTCGACGTTGTTAGGAGCAACAAGCAACTTCAGCCACGCCTGGACTGGACTGCACTATCTCAAGTTGGACCGGCTCTGACCTCTTGCAGAAAACCATCGCAGCTGTGCGAGACGCTGTGCACTAGGCCAAGCAAAGTACAAGAAGGCGAGTGGCGCTGCCGCACGTTCGCGTGGACAAGCTGTCGGACGTGGGGATTTATCGGCCTTTTTTCGAATGAGAGTGTCCTACGCATGGCAGCGAGAATAGTAGGACACGCGTACGTGGAGCCCCGTCCCAAGACGAGCCCGTCCAGTCTGATAAGGCGACGGACATGGGGATGCAGTAGAATCGACCGCCAAAATTTTGTGGAGCCCTGTCGCAATGCATGCCCGTAGTCACGCACTTTGTTGAGCAGAGCGCATGGTCTCTTTTCCACTAAAGCCTTAGAGCGAAGCCATCTGGCTTTTTCTTCAAAGAACTGTGGGGTACCAGGTGCGGATACGTGCGTGCGTACTGCAAAGATGAGTCACGATGGGCTGCCCGTAATCACAAGTCCGAGCGAGCGAATGGCCGCAGTAGCTCTTTGATCGAGTTCTTCAGGTATTCAGTGTCGAGTCAGTTACCGGCGTCTTTATTCATTGATTGCATCGTAGCGCTTGCTCGTTTTGCCGGGTATACTGTATGTGATAGAGAGCATGCATGTGTGACCCCTTTCCCCGCATTCGAGACTTTATCAACAGAGATATTCTCATGTTATGCAGGACGCTCCTCTCCATCCACTGGTACACCCTCACGACGGTACCTTCACTCAACTTGATCTCGACCACGTCCACACAGATCTCACAATTGCATTTGCCTCGCGCCTCCCACCTCCCACCTCCCACCTCCCACCTCATCCTTCGACTCCCGCCTCGATTCGCGATGCCGCCATCTCTCCTGTTCTGGACTGTGGCCTGTGCCACGTTGCTCTCTGCCGACGCCGCGCTCTCTGTCGAGAATGGCGCACGTGCTCTGCAAGTCGACCCGCGCGCCTCGTGGCCGGCTCTCACCATCGTTGTCACTGCGGCGGACGCCAGCCTTGGGTCCTCTTACGTGATGTCGGCGAAACCAATAGTCGAGCGCGACAATAACAGGGTGCTCTACGATGTCAGCGCCACCTTCGACTCCGGGAATGGCAACAAAAGTCCTTTTTCCTCGTACACTGCGAGTGGTGGCACTGTCTTCATGAACTACACCGACGCCGGACAGGACCCCCTATGTCTAAACTCGGAAACAGGCGGATACCCGATCCTGCCGATTAATGCGGTTGTCAGAGCAATGATGGACTACAACGGTAAGTTTTTAGAGGTCGGTGATTCCTTGTGCTCGAGAGAGTACGCCATAGATGCTCAGGGCACCTCATTCAAGGTGTGTCGGGTCGTGAAAGACCCCAACAAGCTCAGGCTCACTGGCGACAAATCGACTGTGGTCATCTCGCGTGTTGACAACTCGGCCGTACCGGATTTGGGTAGCCCATCAGCGGGGTGCAAAACAGTAATTGAAGGCTCAACTGTAAAGACTGGAGGGGAAGGCGAGTTCTTTACGGAGCTTGCGCGTTAAGCGTAGTAGCGCTTCGAGGATGGAGAGGCTGTTCGCTAGCTGCTGGTACTTAGCGTCATTGACTTCTTCGGCTGATCTTCGTATCTTCGGAGTAAGTCGTCAAAAGCCACTACAGATCTTGCAATGAAATACACCAACGTCGATGTGTGAAGTTTTCTCTTGTTGCTGCCTTGTCTCGTGTAGAAAAGAAAAGCGACGAAGGGCTCAACATTCATCGTTGGGTTATCCGTGGCACGACGCACCGAAGTCTCGGTAGCTTACTGCGCTCGTAGCGCGTATGCATATTCGCCTCACACCACAGAGGAGCGTCACACGATCTCTCGCCTCGACGGCGAACTTGGTCACGCGGTGTAGCCTCTTGTAGTCCAAGTCCGTTCCTTTCTGCTTTCAGCTCCTCAACGGCTTGGCGGAGGGCGCCAGTGCCACGACCTCGTCGCAATCCTCGCGCTTTTGCTGATCAAGAATCCGCGTTATCTCGACCTCGATCCCTGTCACAGTCATTTTCTAGCGCATGCGAGTCTATCGCTGGAGGAAAAAGCTCATCGGCTGGAGCTTGTTGCTGAACCGCAAGGCGAGATGAACGAGCGCCGTAACTCGCGTAGCTACGATCATTGCACCCTTTTGCGATGCATCGTCAGCTGAGTATATCAAACGTCAACCACGGAGATATGAAGGAGATGTTGCAATTCGAACATGGCTGACACGGGTGTCGACGCTGTGCAAGAAGAGCACGGGATGCGTTTGACTGGTGTACAGATCAATCGAGCCGTGTGCTTTTGCAGACACTTCCTTTCTGGGGGACACACAAGTACGTTGCAGTCCACATCTCAGCATTGCTCGAAAGCTTCCAAGCTGCATCGTCGTCTGATCAATAACGCCAACAACACAACGCCATTAGTGGGCTTGACGTTGACGTTTGCAGCAGGAAAAGAAAGCGTTTGTTTTTCCGTGCGAACCAAATGAAGTCTAATATTCTGACTACAATATCACTAAGTTCGGTGATATTGGTGCAGTGACCAAGGGTCTGCTCATTGGTTCTTATACCATAAAAAACCGCTGATCGCTGCTAGACGCGCGCGATGGGTGGTGAGTAGACGTCAGTATACATGATTTGATATTAATAACATTAAGCTAGACCTAATTGGGCAAGACACAATTTAGGACTCGAATACATGATTTCTGTTTTTCTTTTCTCTTACAAACCTTAGATGTCTAGTACTAAGTCATCCTCTGAGTACGTACAGTGTACACATCTAACAAGGGCACTTATTCTCATTGATGTCTGTGCGTAGCTCCGAGTCTCCTGTTGCCCCTGGTAGCGCTTCGTTATCCTTCCAAGGGCCGCAACTATATCGCCCAACCTGAACATGTCGGACGATGATGGTGACAGCTTTCACGCCAACGTGAAATCTACTCCTATTCCAGTGACTCGAAATAATCGCGATCGTACCGATGAGTTTTACCATGGGTATGCATGCTGTTTGGTGCATTCTGTCTGGACTCGACAGGAATTATTAACATTCCGCCGTCGCTATGTTCATTTAACAAAAAAAATGACGCGGCGCTAGAAAAGCTAGCTTCGTCCAGACAGCAAGTTTCTCAACATTTCGAACTACTCAAATTCCAGCAGGCGGTCCCGTTGCTGAGGTTTACCGGTTCGTCGACGACGATACTCCTTCTTTAGCTGGTAGCGAGCACTGCCCAACCAGGACCTTCCTTAACTCTTGGTGCTACCAGTCGATACCTCGACAAGCTATGCCTCTCGAGGTTCGACGGCAGTCATAATCTATACCACGCGGGAACTTAACTTAAGTTTACGGGTGTCTTGGACTTAGAAAATTCTGCACTGTATTGATTTATTCTTTTTCTATCGCTGACCCGTTGAGTGGTCCTCTGTTCTTCTCCTCTTCCCTTAAGCGTAAACTAAGTGTAATGAATCTTCGTCGATCTTCTTGCACTCTGCCCTACGCTCTATCGTCGACGACTTTGAGTTCGACGTCCATGACCTCGACGACCTCCACCTCGACAATTTACAATTTGACGACCTTGAATTCGACGACCTCGAGTTCGACGATCATGACTTCGACGACCTCGAGTTCGACAACCTTGACTTCGGCGACCTCGACATCAACGACCTCGACTTAGATGACATCTAGTTCGAAGACCTCTAGCTTGACGACCTCTAGTTCGACGGCCTCGTGTTTAATGTCTTGACTTCGACGACTTCGACTTCGAAGACCTCCAATTTGACGACCTCGAGTTCGATGACCTCGATTTCGACGAGCCCCATATCGACAACTTCTGTTCGACGATCTCGAGTTCGACCATCTTGACTTCGATGACCTTTCATTCGACGACCTCGACTTTGACGACTATGTCGATCTTTGCCACTGAATCCCTATAACACAACCGTCCCAGTCGTGATACGATCCTATTGGGCGAGTGTCGCGACTTCATTATTCCAATCTCTCTGTGCCTTGTCGTTCGTCGTCTAAATTCGCTCGCCGCTTCTTGTCCTCGCCTTGATAATGGTGCACTTTATCGTGCCTATTTCGTCCGTTAGTTGTCTGGCCTTTGTCTTGTCGGTAACTTGTGCGTGATCCTTGGAAGTCTGTCGACGTCCAGGCTTCATTGAATTTATATAAAGTCGTACTTGATGCTGATCTATCTCCTTCGCCCACCGCGTTGGTCGTCGATTCACCGACCGCTTCGGCGGCTCTACCGGAATCCGTTGAGCTTGTTCCCGTGACGTCCGTCGGTCTGGTAGCGACGACAGCCAATTCCCCGCCGAGTTCTCTTCCTTGTGGCTTAAGCGATCGTGATTCTGGAGCAACATCAGACGTTTGTCTTTTTATTTCGAGCCTTGACGAACGCATGCAAGGTCGTGATCTCGAAATTATTCGACCTATTGCCACCCTGCTGGAATCGCCGTGTCCTCTTCTTTATTTATCCAGTCGGTAGTCCATTTCTCGGTCGAGGACGCTTGCGGACTTGAATGCTCTGGTATGGGCGATGAAGTCGCTGCTGTGGATCGCTCTGGAGACATCGCGTCACTATGAATTGCACTCCCTCAGTCTTATCGCTAGAAAGGTTCTCTTCGACGACGCACTTAGGCTACTGTCGCGGAGTCATTAAATTTACGCCACCGGTTGACGACAACCGAGAAGGAGTCCTAGACTGAGAAGAGTGTAGCTCTTAAGTCCACCGAGCTCATTGACTCACTTCACAAGTCGATTTACTCCTTGAAAGCGTCTGCGGATCAGGCTGTCGACATTGCGAGATTCGTCTGGCATCGTCTGAACGATTGGTTACTACGCTCAAGGCTGGCCTTATCGACCGAAAGAGGTAAATCGCCCTGTTAACGCGCCAATTTGCCGACGCGTAAGCCCTACATATTACGATTCAAAGCGTCGCGACCACGTATGTCCGCCATCCCCGGGAAGGTACCGCCGCCTTGTGCACCAATGATACAAAATCCCTTCGGATCGCTCAGCGTACTATTAGCCGCCAGCAGCAAGTGATCCGACGACAGAAGGCACTTCTTCGTCGTGTAAACATTCGTTGCCCGCTAGACATTCACCTTGCGGTGGCTGCTGCGGTCGGTGTTAATGTTCCTGACATGAACCCGCGCGACATGGACTTTAATTCGCGCTTCTGTCACCTTCTTGCCACGCGATTTCAGGGCGTGATTTCTCTTGGTGGGTCGTCGACGTTCCATTACATGGTTTTACATCTCGAGCCTACAGCGGCTTCTTCTCGGCGGATTGCGCCGGCTAATCCGCGCGCTGCTTTGATGGGGTCACCTATTTCAGCTGCTTCGCTAGTATTGCAGTCCTCCGTTGGCTCCGCCTCTGTAGGATTGTTCCCTAAGCCGTCTTTCTCTAATGTCGCGTTAGGCGAGGACACCTCATCGTCTCCGACCTCGGCTTCCACTGCACCAGCATCGTCACCAGTGTTCAATACTTCGACAACGAATGAAATCGTCTGCATTGTTTCTTCGTAGGTCTACCGAAGCACTGAAAGCCCGGAAGTTACACCCACGCCGGGGGTTTCTCAAGTATCCAGCACTATCTCCCTCGTAAATGTTTGACGCTGTCGTGTGGAATGTTTAAGTCTATGGCTGATCCTATGAGCTCTTTCATCGCTTTACCTTCGTCGACGAGCTTGTCGTTACCATCTCTCGAGTGTTCGCGATGTCATCTGCGACGTCTACGCCCGCTGCCAGCTCGTAGTCGTCGACAAGTTCGCCCCAGTATTCTGGCCCTGTCTCGTCGAACGTTCCTCCGTTGCAGCTTTCTCCTACTTTCGCGCCTACTTCCCCAGCTTTACCCGGATCCATGACGCCGCCAAAATCGCGTCACAAAACAGGGTCTGGTCGCACGAGTACCCGCAAGGGCTTCGTTGCTCCCAAGACAAATCCCAAGTCTCCAAGCGCTTCATCCCGAACGCGACCACAAACACGGAGTCAGTCCTCGGCTGGGCCTTCCACAGCTCCAGCACGGATGATGAATCGTCGGTCGGCACGTTGCGCGCCTGGAACAGCGACCATGACGTCCGAGCCCTTGTCAAGCCCAGACCCTTCGTCGATCGTTTCCCCTGGTCATCCACCTGATGCCGCCTCGGTGGATGGACTAATAGTTAAAGCAAGCCTATCTCAATCGCCGGTCGTCCCTGCTTTTGCTGCTAATGTTATGCATGAAATTGCAGCGATTGTTGGTTCCACCAACCTTCCATCGACTTCGGGCAAGAACTCTCCAAGAGCTTATCTAAGCAAGTTACGAACCTTATCTCGTCTTCAGCACCAAGTTCAAAATTGTTTTGAAGCACAGTTGTCGTACGAATCAAGTGATTGCTCGTGACTATCGTTCTACTCCGGCCATGTGTGCAAGTCGACACGTCACGTTCTACTACTTTAATTCCACCCGCTGTTAATCGCTTATTGTGTCCGCACCATTTACAATTTGGCAAATGAATGATGGGTCGAAATCTTTCGTCGCTCC